AAAGTCAGAGATATGTTCGAGCAATTAGTAGATGTCAGTAATCAAGCAGCATTATTAAATAGTACGTATATTATGTTTTTATATTGATATATTTTTTTTTTTTACGATTTATTCTTCATTAAAATATATAATGTGTATATTATTTTCTTTTATGATTATAAGACGCATCTGATGCATCTGAAATGTGGAAGTTCCCATATGAATCGCCATCACTAAGATTCGAATTGGAAGATGCTTGGGAACAAATCAAACCTTTATACGAACAACTCCACGCCTACGTTAGAAAGAAGTTACGCGATCTCTATGGACCCGAGAGAATAAGTCGAGAAGCACCATTACCAGCTCATATCTTAGGTTGTAAATTTATATTAATACCAAATCTTTAATTAGTTTTAATATAATTTAATTCGTTATATTATGGATTTTATAGGAAATATGTGGGGTCAGTCGTGGGAAAATATTTTGGACTTGACCATACCGTATCCAGGAAAAAATTATTTAGATGTTACGCCACAAATGATTAAACAGGTATACATAATATTGTTAAATAATAACAAAAAAAAAAAAAATGTTATCAAACAAAATATCAATAGAATTCTTTTTTTTTCTACAGGGGTATACGCCAGCCGCTATGTTTAGGGTAGCAGAAGAATTTTTCATATCGTTAAATATGAGTTCAATGCCTCAATCGTTTTGGTCCGATTCAGTAGTTGAAGAACTTCCCGGTCAACCAATAATTTGTCAACCTTCTGCTTGGGATTTTTGCAATAGACAAGACTTTAGGTATCTATCGATTGAATGAATTGTTAAGTCGTTTAAGGTATTTCAAATAAGAAGTTTAGAACACAAGAGGTATAAGTGACATTCTATTAATTTCGAGAAAATCTAATTTAAAGTTATTTGTATTTAATACAATTATTATAGTATATTGTCATATTACCACTGTTCTTGTGTTCGATTGATAAAAGCAATTTTTAAACACTTGGCTGTATAAATACATAAGTGTATTAACAATTGTTGTGGACCCTTGTACCTATTTACTTCTAACATTTTACGACATTTTCGTTTGAAGCTATTTTAGTGAAATCTAGTATTTGTTACTAGATCGCAGCACATGTTCAATAATTTCTTTATATTTCTTTACCATACAATAAAATGGAATATTTTTAGTTCAGCCGTGCTCTTAACTCGGATTTTTTAGAATTTCACTTATACTCCTTGTGTTCTAAGTGCCTCAAATTTGTTAAAGAAATGTCAAATCAGAAAGTTTAATAACATACTATACAACAAACGCATTATAATTTTCAGAAATATAACATAATTATATTAAATATGGATTTAACTGTCACGTATTACTTTATTGGCATTTTAGTTATTACAATAATTATAATATTTACTTCAATTTTAAATTATACACACTGAAGTGACATTTAAGTTAACATATATTATGCAATATTATTCTTATTTATTAAAGTGTACTTTATCAATGATATTATTGGGGTTAATATGTTAAATGTTTTTTTTTTTAGAATTAAGATGTGTACACAAGTTAATATGAAAGATTTCATCACCGTTCACCATGAAATGGCACATGTACAGTATTTTTTAAATTACAAAAAACAACCAAAGGTGTATCGTGATGGTGCTAATCCAGGTATTTATTTAGATAATTGGTTTTTTTTTTATGATTTAGTATTTTCATATAATGTACTTTGATTTTTAAAGGATTTCATGAGGCTTTAAGCGAAGCGATATCACTCTCTGTGTCGACACCAAAACATTTGCAAACGCTGGGATTAATATTAAACTCTGTTGACGATATTCCACATAACATTAATTATTTGTTTGGATTGGCTATGGATAAGCTTACATTTTTACCTTTCAGCTTGGCTCTTGACTTGTGGCGATGGGATATATTCTCAGGAACCACACACAAGGAAAGATATAATTGCCATTGGTGGGATTTACGGTAAATTGAATTTAAGATATTTACCAAATTATCAAAATTTTGTTGACTTTACATTTGGCAATATTAAAATATTATTAATGTTAGATTTGAATACCTATTATACAATTAAAAACAAATAGATGGATAGTAAAAACAAATATTTCTTGATGGGTACCTATTCAATAAATTTAGATAGGTGTCTACTATACATAAAGAAAATATTCAAACATTTAAGTTTTACAATTCTTAAAATAAGTTATTTTTGCAATTAAAAAAAAAATGTATGGTTTAAGTTATAGTATAACTAATAATTAAAGTTTGTATAGCTTCACATACAAAATTATGATGAACGTTGATATATTCTTTAATATCTTATATTTTCAAGTGAATGTTTATATTTTAATTACCGAGTGGAGCGAGGAATGTATTGGTTTTACAATGGTGTTTATTTTTTTATTTTTTTTTTCTGTGGACAACTATTCTATCAGCAATTTCGTTTCAATTTTTTAATATAGCGCTTTCTCTGAAAGGAAATCTGATTAGAGTGGTACTTTAAGGAAGTTATTTTTTTGATTTTCCGTTTTCATAATAAATGGCTAAAACCGGAAAGAAACATTGGAAAAAATGTAGGAAAAACGGGAAAATAGATACAATATTAAATAAATATTATTAAAAAAAATGCATATGTAAGTAATTATCTTACCATAATATGATATATATATATTGTTGATAAAGCAACGCTTAAAATCGTTTTTCGTTATCAATGGTTAATCGTTGCTTACAGATTACATTAAATATTCCCTCTACCTTCCTAAATCCTCATGGATGGCGCACCCGTTGTACGAAGTATGTCCGTATCTTTTTTTCTTATTATTTTAACAAGAATACTATTTCAAATATAATAAAGTAATATCATTTTTAATGTAAGCATTTTTTTTTAACCATTACTTTTTCTCCTAAAATTCTCTTCTGTAACAATAATCTAATACCTATGGGTACCTATATACCAATATGGTTTTTATTAATTATGTTCGTTATTGTTCGTTAAAAAATCGATGAATAAATTAAAGCTGAGAAGTGAAAGTTTAATAATATTGACAATTAAAAATTAATTTTGTAGAAAATACATTTGCAAAAAAAAAAAAAACAACCAATATTTATTTCACAAATCACAACGAATAATATACGTATGCATACATAAGTAGATACTTATATATTACCTATAATTCGATTTCTCTTGTGATGAACTGATTATATTGTTTAAATAATAATAAATAATTTCGTAAAGTCAAATACTTAATATTCTATTACATATTTGTATATTAAACTGTAAAATATCGTAAATCATTACCAATTATCAATACAAACAATATTATGCAGGTATTATCTTTCATCTAGTTATTTAATATTTACGGTTATGACAATATGAACATTTGTGTTGGTATAGTGTAAATTGTATATATGTTAGAAAATAATACGATCATTTTAAAACAAAACAAAACGTTCCATAAATTAAAAATGAACTATTGTTATGTATAATATGATATTATCATCGTTATTAGGTACGTTACCCAAAGAATGAAATAAATTCAATTATATTTTTAAAAACGTAAGACCATTGGTTTTATAAAATTTGCGCATTTTAGACACGTTTTAGTTTTACGTACCGTCTATAATTTGGTTACCTATACGCATATACCCAGGTGGTTTTAATTTTTTAAAAAAATATACATTTTTATTGTTTTAATGTTTTAACAAATATTCTATCAGACAATTAATTTTTTTATTATTATTGTTATTATGTAGAGAACGAATCGGCGGAGTGAAACCTCCAGTGCTCAGATCCGAAACCGACTTCGATCCAGGATCAAAGTACCACGTGCCCGCTAATATTCCCTACATTGGGTAAGTACCTATAATTTATTTTAGTCGTTCACACACTTGTGAATCGGTATTATTATCTATATTTTCTGTAGGTAGGTATACGTAGTCGTTTTTTGTTCACGCCGCATAGTTTCTCCTACAGCGACGACGTTATTATTACAATAATGCCGTCGCTCAATAGGATAATTTCATAACGATAACAATAATAAATAGAACATAATAGTCGCAGTAGAATATCAAATATTTAATGGAACTGGTGTATTTTTGTCAACATATCCGATACGATTTCGTCGGTATGCCCAGTTACTGGTCATATTAAACGCATTCTAGGCGGGGAAGGGAGTGAGCGTCAAACAAACCGAAAAATGGTTTCGGTTTCTTCTTCTTTAATGCGATGGTATGTAACGTCGTCGTCGTCGCTATTACAATAAAATATGTACATGCGATACCGAACGGGAAACGAAAGCGGAATTCATTTTAGTTTTCAAATATTTTGTAACAACCGAAATAATCAGTAATTACTTTTGCGTTTTCCGTGATCTGGTATTGCGTGTGCGGATTGGCAAATAAAATATAATAATAATATATCAAATTCGTTTTTCACTGCGAAATGGAACCGCGAATGACATCCAATGAATCGACATTACCTAAATAGGTACCGTATGTAAATAGGTACCTTTACAATCAATTTTTCTTCTTTTTTGTATCGTATTATTATTAGTGATTGTTATTGGTAACGCAAATTAAATTTAATGCCATACCCAGGTCTTTCCGGAAAACATATATTTCAAATAAAACATTCTTATAATCTACATTAAATATTTTGATAGCTAAACGTTAAAGATAGAGTCAACAAGGTATACAAATATCGAGACTTTAAAAACTAGAAAAAAAAAAAAAAAACATAAGCAAACTATAATTAATAGGTATAATCTAATACTAACGACTAAAATATTATATTGACATATTATTCGGATATTACGGTAGATAACAACGTGTACAACAATTCAATAATATAATAACAGACAGTAACATTAAGTATAAGTACCTAATAGTATATTATTATTATGATAAATCTAAATGCTTATTTGTGCCGAGGAGCACAATGAGCTTAATAAAATGGCAGCAAATCACTTACTATCAATAATTTGGTAAATGTTTAAAACGATCATCCGTGGGCTCCGTAATCTTCACTACCGCCGTAAGCATCTGGTGTTCCTTGGTCTTGGCCATTGAACGATGTGAATCCGTGTTCGCCATTATTTACTGCAAACGCTGCGCCGTATCCAGTTGTGTCTCCCGAGCTCTCTTGAATGTTTCCTCCCTGTCGGTATAAATCGCTGTGTTTCATTACTGTGTTGCCGTAATCGTGGGCGGGTGCGTGCACCGGTATATGAACAGGAACTTTGACTTCCACGGGATAAGGTACAGGTACCTTTACCTGCACTTTCACCGGTACCTTGACCGGATACGGTACGGGCCTGTCCACGTGCACCGGATACGGTTTGGGAACATGCACCGGATAGGGTCTGTCCACCGGCACTTTGACCGGATATGGTATTTTCCTTTCCACTGGATAGGGAATGGGTTTTTCTACCGGTATGTGCACGTGAACGGGACGGTCTATAGGTATTTTCACCGGATATGGGACTGGATGGTCAACAGCTACGGGCACTTTTTTCTCAATGTAAACCGGATATGGTTTCGGTATGTGTACCGCCACTGGTCGATCTACATGTACTTTTACCGGAAACGGTACATGTTTTTCTACCGTTACGGGATACGGTTGGGGCACGTGCACTTTTACTGGGTAAGGTACTTGTTTTTCAATGTGCACTGGATATGGTTTATGAACTGGATACGGCACAGGCTTTTCATACGGCACTCGGACGGGGTAAAGAACTTTTTTTTCTACATGAACTGGATACGGCACCGGTACTTCTTTTGTTACATAGACTGTCTTAACATGTCCTCCATAACCATAGCCACCTCCACCATGGCCACCTCCTCCGTGGCCACCTCCTCCATGGCCACCTCCTCCGTAGCCACTTCCACCATGTCCACCACCTCCGTGGCCGCTACCACCATATCCGCCTCCTTCATGGCCACCATCTCCGTGGCCACCACCTCCATGGCCGCCCCCCCCATATCCGCCACCTCCGTGATCGCTCCCATAATCACCTCCTCCATGTGTATCTCCAAAGCCACCGCCTCCATGAGTATCTCCAAAACCACCTCCATGGGTGTCTCCAAAACCACCTCCTCCATAACCACCAAAATCGCTTCCTCCATGACCACCACCATCATAACCACCTCCACCATGACCACCTCCACCATGGCCACCTCCACCATGGCCACCTCCACCATGGCCACCACCACCATGGCCACCTCCACCATGTCCACTTCCGCCATGACCACCTCCACCATGACCACTTCCACCGTGGCCACCTCCACCATGTCCACCTCCGCCATGGCCACCTCCGCCATAACCTCCTCCACCATGTCCACCTCCTCCATGACCTCCATTAGCATGACCTCCGCTAGCATGACCACCACCTCCGTGATCACCTTCTATGTGACCGCGTCCAAAATCACTTGCTCCATGATCGGTTCCTCCAAAGTTACCAATTCCACCATAACCAGCATTGCCTCCTCCGAAGCCACCATTGTTAGTCGTCCCATGAGAATCGACATTTCCTCCACCATCTCTGTAATCACTACCGGCTTCGTAGCCTTGAAATACTTGCTGTGAACCTACAAAGTTATGATGCCCACCGCCATCGTTGCTGGCTTGAATGCCGTAACTTCCTCTTCCAGAAGCATCATTTTTCCCTTCGTTATTAAAAAAACTGGCTATCCAACCATGAGCATTGTCATTTCTTCCTCCTATTGATCCCTGATCTTCCGATCCAGTGTTAGATACGTGTGTGTTTCCATTGTTGCTCTGAGCACCTCCGTCAAAGAAGAAATTATTAAAACCGTTACCACTGTTGTGGTTTTCAATGTTTGCTGATGATTGTTCGCTATCTCCTCCACTTCCATCCCGACCGTTACTGCTTCCAAATGAAAGTGACGAAAAATCTAAATTTTCTGGTGATGAGTGTGAATTGGTTCCACCTCTGGCATATCCTAAGTCTAATATATTATTTAAACCTCGTTTCTCTGGTTTTTTTGATTCAGTAGACTCGTCTCCACTATCGATTTGTTTTTTAGTAGACGACTTTTTGTGTTCAGCTAACGCATGTGTCAATAATAATGTTAAAAATAGCCATTTTTGTTTCTGTAAACGAAAAGCACAGATCTATTGAATTATTTTTATATTTTTATGAAAATATTATTTTCAAAATGGATCTCTGTTTTTGACAATCCATAGAAATTTAAACTAGGCACAATAATATATATATACTTATATAAAATATTATATATCTACCAATTTCACGCGTACCATCAGTAAAAAATACATAACTGTAAAATAATTAATAACAAATAGACTTCGCGTGCAACCGCAAACAGCACGGTGAAATGCAATTTAATATGTTTGTGGAACGAATAGATTATTACTTATACCAATTTTTATTTTTATATTTTTATTTTAATATGTTGAGCAGAACATAATAGTGTTTTGATTTTTTAAAATCTCAATAATAAGTATGAATGTATAATTTTTATTTATATGCTATTTAAAAAAAAAAAAAAATATACATATGTATCATATGTAATACATACATTATAATTTACGGTGATACCAGTATTTTAATTATCGCTGATTTAACAGTGGACTAGTTACATAATTATAGTTATAATATATTTTGATCTATAGTTTTATATTTTTGGCGGTGTTGATATATTTATAACTGTTTTAAATATTGCGTTAAATATACATTAATATGAAGTTATTAAAATATAATAACTAATGAGCTTTTTCAAATAATTTTAATAATAGAGTACTACACCTAAAAATATATTTAATCGGTGACTGTGTATTTCGTAATATTATATAGGTTTAAATTTTTGAAAATAATAGTTTAATTCCGTATATTTAGTTCTTAAAAATATAATATTATTAAATTACTAATCGATTATCTAAATTGGTGTTTGACATGAACATAATTTCAATAAAATCGCTTTTATTATTTTCAGTTCCATATTAGGTACTAATTTATTGCAATTGAAATTTAACTTCGTTTTATAAAAATGAAATAATATATCGTCCGACGTTTTCATAAAACAGTTAAATTTATTTTACAATATTTGTGGTTTTTGGGAGAGGGTTTTTTTTTTATATTTATTTACTATAAATATTTATTTTTTTTATATTTACTTTATACATCGTTTTTAAATAATTTTTATAATGAAAACAATAATTTACTAGCACCTTACTGAAATACTGAAATTACTAAATTTCTACGTTGGAATCTATAAAAAAATACATATTATTATATTAAGGAGTTGGTGGTTATCTATTTTTATACTTTTTAAATCAATAAGCGGCCGGAAGTTGGACATATTTCTCAATGTCCGATTTTTAATTTTTAAAGTATGTATGCATTTTTTTGATACATTTTCTTCGATATTTAGGATGTATTTTAAAGACTTCTAAAATTAAGATAATATTTTTTTAAAATTCCGTGAAATCATCATTACATTTGTATTTATTTTGGACTCACCTCATTTTAATTGATGAAGCGTTTTATTATATTATTAGAATATGTGTCAACAAATTCATATGTTTTATAAAAATTTAATGCGTTCATTGGTTAGTATGTTAAATTTTCCACCACCTATTAGTGTAAAACGTAATATTCGTTCAAAAAATCGTCCGTACCCTCTCTCCTGAAATAAGTATCGGGCTCTAGATAAGTGGAAAAGTTTTAACATTAAGGTGGCCATTAAAAGGAAAAAATTAATTTTTCAAATTTTACATAATTGGTTAGGTAAACTTGAAAAATTTGGTAAAGCCAATGGCTATTTTTTCAGACTTTTCGTAGTGCACATATTTGAGTTTACGTGACGTAGACGGACATTTAAAATTGCAATACCAAAATATATGTTAAATATCTCGTCATCTATTTATGGAATACTTAATGTAGGCTGCTATTCAAAAATTATCAAAAATAATAGTTCATTCGCGAAAATAAGAATTACAAAAAATAACGATGATGTAATATTTTAGAGCTTTATGTTTTATAAATTTAAAAAAAAAAAAATCGCTTAAAAAGTAAATACTTTCCAAGATAATTAGTATCTTATCGAGAATTGATTACATTGTAAATATTAAAATGAAAAAATATTTTCTTATACCTGTGGAACCTCAGAGCTCGTTTATAATAAATAAGAAGGTGGTAGGTGCAAATTTTAATTTTTTGTAGTGCACATTTAAGATTTTGTTGGGCACAGTGTTCCATAGAGCATATAAAAATAGCTACTGTGATAAACCACTTTCAACACCCTTAAAATTAATAGTATGTTTTAGAAAATATTATAGAAACTATGTTTTTAAAAGTATATTATTATTTCAATTTTACGGAGCAATACTTAACTGTTAGGTAGAATATTTGTTGAACATTTTATACGATATCGTTTACATTATTCACCCTTGATAATGTTAAATGATATGAAAAATGAAAATGAATAATATGGATTCGTGATTATTTTAAAACAAAATACTAATCTTTAAACTAATTGCCAAAGTATTTATGTTTAGTAATTTTTGGGATTTTTATAAAACTAAAAAAATATATACAAAATACGTAAACAATTTATATTATAATATTTGTTTTTGAATTAAATGGAAGTTTTATTTTTATAGAACTATTTAAGAACTAATTGATTTCTTTGCATCTTATTCAATTGTAAAAAAGTAAAAAACATATGTATCTAAAAAAAAATTCTAGATATTATTCTTTCCTCAATTTTTCTTTTAATAATTGATTTTTTTTTTAAATTTGAAATTCAATTTATCTTTTATATAAGTTGACTATTTTTCAGATCGATAATTTAAATTAATTTAAATTTACGTATTTGATTGTCTAGTAGATTCAGTCGTCATATAAATTGTATTTATTTAAGATGAAATATTTAAAATATGTATAGTTTAATTTTTTAGGTTTATGAAAACATTTGGTAATAATTTCAATTTTAACTTTTTAAGTCTGACATTTTAATTTTAATATTTATACAATTTTATATGGTTTTCTAATATAAATAACATTCATTAGATAATGAATTAAATGTTTATAAAATAAATCATTTTTGTTTAAAAATCGATATTAAAATAACTGCGTTATAATATTGTATAGATAAAACATAATAAAGAAAATATTTATTTGGTAAGAACTTACTTCCATTGAGTGACCGAATATTCACGTTGGTTTTTGTAACAAATTATGATTTGAATGAAAAAAAATATTTTAACACACGATATTTTTTTCAAGTTAGATTGTAAAACAACATTATCAAAAAATAAAATAAAATATCTATGGTTAACACGAACCGAAAATATCTACGACGAATTTACTGTCCACGAACGTCTAATTATGACTAATGCACATTCAGTCTATGTTATATTTTATACTGTTTTTCTTAATATATCAAAAAATGTTGTTCAAAAATACCCCTCCACATTATGGTAGTAACTAGTCGATACATAGCCGTGTCACAGTCTTCCGGTGGTATTGGCTAGTAACAAGAAGACTATTTTCCTCTCTCCGTAGACTGTTTCATTATTATACGCTCTACCCATTTTATTTTTTCCTACCTATTGTATAATGGCGTCTGTATAATATGTATGAAATAAAATTATTTAATGCTCATCATTTTATTTTTATTTCTCATTTTTAAAATGAATACTTAATTTCTAATATTGTGGTATAAACTATTGATTAACAAATAATATTTTTGAAAAAACAATTATACAAATATGTATCTATTAATCAGAAGTTTGTTTTAAAAAAAAAAGTTGAAAGTACATTGCAGTTAAATCTACATTTTGAAAAATCTATTTCTTAACAACATTGGATTCTTCAGTTTTTGTCTCTACGGATTCTTCAGCTTTAACTGAGCTTGAACCTCCAATAGCGACTGCTTCTTGGCTGCTTGATTCAAAACCAGCAGATTTCAATAAAGCTGAAGCGTCAGCAGATGAGCCAGCAGAGAAAGAACTGAATGGGGCTGGGGTTGAAGATCCGAAGAACGATTGATCGAAGTTGAATGGGGCTGCTGATGAACTAACAAAACCGTCTTGGGCGAAGTTTGAACCGAAGAATTCAGCTGGGCTTCCAGTTGAGCTGAATCCGCTTACAGGGCTAGCAGTGGAACTGAATACACTTGGCGCTGGGGTGGAGCTGTAGAATGCACTGCCAGAAGCATCGGAGAATCCAGATGCACCAGCGAGTCCAGATGCACCGACGAATTCAGATGAGCTGGCAAGTCCAGACGCACCAGCAAGTCCAGATGCACTAGAAAGTCCAGATGCACCAGCAAGTCCAGATGCACCGTATGATTTCACGTTTTGGTTGTTAAAGAACACAGCGTTTGAAGGATTGCTGTAGTATGCACTTGAGGCACCATCGAAATATTGGCCTCCGAATGCTTTGTAACCGTTAAGACCAGCAAAACCGTTAGCGGATCCATATCCGAAAGCAGCAGGAGATCCTTGGTAGTAATGGACAGTAGCGAAACGTTGAGTTGGGGTTGCGACTGGTACTGGGACCTTAACTTCGTACGGTACTTGAACTGGGTATGGGACCTTCTTTTCAACTGGGTATGGCACTGGTCTATCTACAGTTACTGGAACCTTCACTTCAACGGGAACTGGAACTTTGACTGGGACTTCGTATTTAACTGGGTACGGAACACGTTTTTCAACTGCGTATGGTACCAATTTTTCTACTGGGTATGGCACGGCTTTCTCCACTGGGTACGGGACTCGTTTTTCTACGGTAACTGGGTATGGCACTGGTTTTTCCACAGGGTAAGGTCTGTCAACATTCACTCTTACTGGGTATGGTACTGGCTTTTCTACTGCGTATGGCACTGGTTTCTCTACTGGAACATGAACTGGGTATGGCCTATCGACTGGAACTTTAACTTCATATGGTACAGGCTTTTCAACTGGGTATGGCACTCTCTTTTCAATTTCGACTGGGTATGGTTGAGGAACGTTAATTGGACGATCAACATTGACTTTGACAGCGTATGGTACATGCTTTTCTACTGTAACCGGGTATGGGTGTGGTACACGGACTAAGACTGGGTACGGCACTCTCTTTTCGACCTGAACGTAGTACGGGACTGGAACTTCCTTAGTGATGGTAATTTCATGGTGAGGTGCAGGGGCATTTTGGACGGCTGGTACTGCAATTGCGTCTTGACTGACTGAATCAGATTTGGTGATTACTCCCTGTGCAAAAGACGGAGCGTAAGCTCCAGAGTAGTATGAACCGTATGCTGTAGAATAAGCTGGTGATCTGTTCAGAAGGACTGGTTCTGGAGTAGATGAAACAACGGGTGAAGATCCGGCCAATAAAGCGGAAGCTGGGGTGGAAGAGAAGGCAAAACTTGCGTCGGATACAGCAGCGTCAGATACAAATGGTGCTGGAGTAGAGGATCCAATTAAAGCTTCTGGGGTAGAAGAAGCAAAAGATCCATCTAAAAGCGGAGCTGGAGTAGAAGATCCAACGAATGATGCTCCATCAAACGACTGGCCTGCGAAACCACTGCCGAAAGCATTCGATGAAAACGAGTTACCGAATGCAAATGGAGCGGGTGTAGAACTGTAAGAAACAGCTGATTTGTATGGGAAACCTGCAGCTGACGAGAACGAGCCGCTACCGAAGGCGAATGGAGCGGGTGTGGAGCTGGAAAAGCTAGATTTAAATGGAGCAGCAGTTGTTGAGAACGAACTATCGAACGCAAATGGTGCTGGAGTAGATGGACCAAAAGACTTAGCGCCGAATGAGAAAGAAGGGAAACTAGTCTTATCAAAAGCAGATCCAAATCCACTGAAGGCTGCTTTCGCCTTAATCTCAAGTTTTTCAGTTGATTTTTCTTCCGCGAACGCGGTGGACACAACTAGGAGTCCTAGGCAGATAACCTGAAACTGAAAAAATACATACAATTTATAATAATTCCAATCAAATACATTTAGTCATCATTAATAAACAAATTGCAATTTGATTAAATAACAATTATTTTGATATGAAAAAAAAAAGATTAAATTTATCAAACAACACGTTTATGTTTCGATGTACTGCAGGTCTAAATGATTTACGTCAGTTTTCTACTACTATACATAACCAAATAACTATTCCAATTAATGATGAAAAACTGAAAAACTGATGAAAATTAATGATATTAATCCTCGCGTATAAAAAATAATGGATAACTAAATATATTTAAAATTAATAATTAATATATTTAGTATATATTTAAGACAAAAATTCGAGTAACTAAAATTATGGAGTATTAAATAACATTATGATTTCAGACATTCGGCAAATTGTATTTTTTATGTATAGCTTTAAAGAAATTTAAATAGTTACGTTGAGTGTAAACAATTTTGTTAAATAATAATCTATTAGTCGTTTAATTTTAAATGAAAAGTGTAGCAAAATAACTTTTGGAATTCAATTAGTAGAATATTCCAGGGGTAATATAATTTGTAATAAAAAATGAGTATTATTTTTTTTAAAGAAAACTATTTAGTTTTGACATAATATAGCGGTTAAAATTATATGATTACGAATAAAGAATACATTTTTTTGAATTGATTTTCATTTTATTTTTTCTTTGCACGTTTGTCGTTTTAAATGCCATTTATTGCGTAAAAAATGTAATAAATGTTAGTTTATAGTATACTTAAGTTGTATTAACATTAATTCAATAGGTACTTTGAAAAAAAGGTTTTGAAATTAATAAACTTATCTGATATAATAATATAATGGTATTTAATGGTTACTATGTTTAGTTAAAAAAAGAATAACTGAGATTGCATTTAAAAAAAAAAAAAAAAAATCTATTATACTTTTAGGCAAAATTATTTTCGGTACCTACGTTTACAAAATTCAACAAATTTATTAACTGTGTAGTGTTAATGAAAGCATTTTTTTTTCACATCACAAGAAAAACAAATCATTTCAAAGTAATTTATAAAATATTATTAGATTATTTAAAATGTGATATTTAAAATTGTATTTACGAAGAATGTTTTTTTTTTCTTTTAAATTTAATACGTACTCTAAAAAGATTCAATAGGAATTATTAAATTATATCGACGAGTGTTTTTCGTGTGTATACACTATTCGTATACTGAATACGATAATATAATATAATAAAATTAAATTAAATCTTACCATAGCACGAGGAGCCATGATGCCTTGTTTGTTCTGTCTTGTGTTCAGTCCACTGAGACTGATTGACTGGATACCTTGTTGAACGTGAGCCTTTACTATATATATCCGCGCTTCTTCTTGGACGGTCTCCAGAAAAAAATTATTGTCAAAAACCAGTAATCCGGGATGGGAGAATTTTGTTCGGCCACTTTACTATTGGCGAGCTTCTCCCACCACCAATAAATTGTTTATATTCGTTTTTTTTTTCGATCTGTTTTTTTTTTTTGCGTGTATGTATTATTCTATTCTATTTTTTTTTTCTTTTGCTCGTCTTACGTCTAAACCGGTTGTTCACGCTAAGTCAAGGGTGCACATCTACGGTCGGACTCAGAAGGATCGGATAGTGGCCTCGTCGACCTTCAAAACAGCAACCTAACCACATATCCCCTTTCACCCGTCGTCGGGTAAACGTATTCGCTCGTATAGATTGTTTTGTATTTACTCCCCTCGTTGTATTATTGTGTATAGACTTGGGCATCGTCGTCGTAGTCGTAGTCATTTTATCGTATCGCCAAACAGAGTATTATTATTTTGAATAAAAAAAAACACTATTCGTTTTCTTTTTTTATATTATTGTATAGCTCTACCTATAGAAGTCAAAAATGATTAAAGTATAATAGCATGTGAGTGTTTTATATTTTTTGTTTAAAAATGCGTACATACTTATTATATTATTAACTGAGTTTTAAATTTAATGGCAATAAACACGTTGATATAATTGTTTGGTACTATTATACGTACCTAAGTTTGATATTTTTCCAATAAAATGTGATTTGATTCATTCGTATATAATTCGGAAACTTTAATTTAGATTTCTAACGAAGTGCATATTGCCTACAGTTTTTTTTCCATCGTATCATTTGTTAATTTGTAAAACGAATGTCTTCTAACATTTTAATTTTTGTTTTGCGTAAAAAAAACCGTAAAAAAAGGTCAGCTAGAAAGAATTTTATTTCATGTGAAGATAAAGGCGAAACTGTAATTAAATGTTGCATGTTTGCATATTTAGGATTTTTTTGATTTTTTGAGATATTTTTAGAATTTTTTTGTATGTTATTATTTATTTGGGAGTAATTTTTGCAAAATTTATTAAAAACAACAAAATGATAATCATAAAATATTAAACAATTTATTTTTAGTGTTTTAAGAAGAAATATCAAATCAATTCTATTTTTAAATCAAATAAATTCATCAATCAATTTATATGATGTACTATAATAATGTACTTAATTAAAACAATAAAATGTAAAAGTAGAAGTTCCGTTTAGACAAAAAGGTTATTTTTATTTATTCGGTCATGGTGGGGCATGTTATTAAAATTAGGTAGGTAACTGTTTTTCCATTTTAGATATTTTAATATTTATTTAACATTTTTTAATTAAATCGCTGGAAAACAAATTGCAGAACATATTTTAGACGTTTAAGAATATAAATGATTTTTTAGAACTTTTATTTTTGTAATTGTTTTCGTCATGTAAAATGAAAACTTACAACAAAATTCTAATGTTTAACAAAATGATCGATTTTGAACAAATTGTTTAAATGTTGGAACAACTTGTTGACATACGTTATGCTACACATAATACATATGTACCTATATACATTGAATACTTAAAAAATATCGACTTTTAATCAAATATCGTTAAAAAAAATAAATAATCATAATGATTACGTTTAAATAATTTACCATACATTTATAAATAATAATATTGTTTTTTTTTTTAAAACTTAAAAAAATTAGAATTTTCCCTTGTAAAAATAATGCATTTATAAAGGTAATCGCAATAATTATTATAATATCGGATTATTTAAAATTTCAACGAAACACCAAATAAAATAACATTTTATAAGATTCTTCTAGTTGTATTATATGTATAAAATTTCAAAATAATTTTCTACTTGAAATAAACACTCGAATTTTTCTAAAAATTTTTCCGGAGTTAAACATTCTATATATTTTTATTCGTTTAAATTTAATATTGAATACATTGATAAAATACAAGTTTTGAAATAGGTACATACATATGGAATAATTTTTTATACTTTACTTATAACCGTCAAATATTTGAATAGCGATATAATAGAACCTGATATTTTGTGTATACAAATATGGTGAATTCAGTTTCACAAATTACCAATTGCTACGATATTTTTTTTTTATGTTTTTGAACTTGAATCAGAAGTGTACCCTTTAGTAAAAAACATTAATGCACCAAATATAATATAAATACTTGTATTTTTTTGATATAATTATATAGGATTGCGTTCGAGGTAATCTATATATAATTATACACTAATAACTGACAATAATAAATAGCACAATAATTCGAACGTTAAAGAATAGTAGATTCATAACAACTCATATTTTAAAATATGATTCACTTATCTGGTGTCTATATTCTAAAATTGACATTGATCTTGTTGAACGTGTCCAGAATCGTTTTCTCAGATTCGCAGCTTGCAAATCAAGCATACCTATTAACAATCATGATTATTCACAAATTAGATCCTATACTAATATCCAAATGTTAGCTCTTAGGCGTGAACTGGCTGACATAAATTTTTTCTTCAAGCTAATTAATGGAATCATAGATAGTCTGGACCAATTAAGCTGTATCCCGTTTAATATTCCCTTTAATAATAACCGCTCATTTTCCTCATAATATGTACCTACGTTCAGCACAAATTATTTGAAATATCTCCCTATTCCTAAGACCTCATACAACAAACTTCCGCTATCTGCTGATTATTTTCTTTTCATTATTAAATGAATTGTTAAATACCTGCATAAATGTTGATATATAATTCTGAGAATACCAGGTTAATTTTAATTTTTACTCTAGAGTATATTTACCGTGTTTTTTGTTTATTGTATTTAAAGTCTTACTGTACTATTGAGCTCACGTCCGTTTCATTCACTGAATAAATTATTTTCATTATTATTACGTAATTCCAAAAACAAAGAATTTCAGTGGTAAAGAGTATACACGCATCGATTCGATGGTTCGTTCGGTTAATAATAATATTATAATTAACGCTGTACCCGTGTGGGAAAATTGTCGATTTAAGGTTTTAAGGTGAGGAAAATATTTAGGCAAATTTATATTTGCGAGAATAAAATACAAATAAATATAATTGTATTGTGCTAGTAATCGTTTGTGTATTGCAGATATATTGTATTATATCGGTGGAATTTCTGTGTTTCTAAATAAGTTTTCTGTCCAAATTCCAAGTCTTTATGAACATTTCGAACTGAATTACAAGTAAAAAACAAAATTGAAAATAAAAAGCATTATTTTCGTAAATTTTCTCGTTTTTTTCAATTATTTTTAAAACTACTTAAAAATCGAAAAATGGACTCCTCCACTAAAAAGTGCCAATCCAAGAAAATTTCCTTTCAGTAAAAAAAGGTGCTACACTTGACAGTCGGGGCGAGATTTCTGGTGAAATTTGTGTACATAGTATTAAAAGAAAATAAATAAATCGAAATCAAAATCATTGTAAAACCAATAAATTCTTCGCTTCTGAATCTAAAACAATAAATACTACAGCAACAAACATAGATTCTAATAGTACCTAGTACAAGTAGTATTTCATTCAGGTATACAACATATGTATATCAGTATGCTATTACTGTACAACTTTGTTATATATTCGTATACCTATACAACAAATATAAATTAGTATACGAAGCTAGCTGTTTAATATTTTACTGATAAAACATTGTTTAACAAATGACAACATTGGAAAATCCAATCGTGTTTGATTCGTTGTTATTTGAAGTTTTAACTACAGTTATTTTTGAGAAACAACGTTCATAACTGTAACTTGTAACATATATTGTGATAAATAGCTGGGAACTTTTCAGTAAATTTAGAAAAAATAGCGATCTTTTTAAAATTATGTACCTAGTCAATGTGATAATTGAATTATTTAGAGCGAAGTAAACCTATTATTTAGAATACCTGGAATATTATTTAATAATTTGATTTCTGAGCCCTAAACAACTTCACATATAACAAATTGTTCTTTTAAAAATTTGTTCAAAATATTTTCATCTAGTTTCAATTTTACCAGGTTTCCAATTGATTAAAACCCACTCATCATAATGTATTATCATTTGTCACGCTTTAAGGATTACGGATAAAATGAGCATTCGGAAAAACACCATTATTATATTCCGATAAAATACCACCCGACAAAATAATCATCGTATCACACTATATTTGCGTACGAAAATCCTACAAAAACGAATCGTCAACAAGCCACTAAATTGTAATTAAGGTGAAACACAGGCTGCATCTGTAAAACCACATATGGAGGGTATATATTATGTGTAATTAGTATAGTCACAAGATATGCCACGGAATATAATCGTACATATTATATTTCCGTTTTAATATTAAGGTTTTTAATACATTTATGTTTAAATTACCTAATATATTAAAAATTGTCTAAAATGTATATTGATGAAAATACTTTTCTAAAATTTATTTTTAAAACTCTTAAAATCCCTTTACCCACACCAATGATTCAAGTAAAAATTTATTTAGCCTTCCCTCTTCAATACGAAATCCTGGTTGCGCCAGTGGCTGGTGGTAACGATATATTAAAAGACATCAATACATAATTTATTTTCTTTGCCTGTCTCGCGCGTGATATTGTGATATGTAGTAGTGATTTATAGTAATAAATACATTTGGATTTTAAATCCTATAAAGAAGAATATTTACTATGCCTCGGTTAAATGATTTTATTGATATTTATATTTCTTACTATAGGTCATTAACGGTTAAAATTGAGAGAAATAATCAACCTAAATTAAAACACGTTTTTTTTCATGAAGCAAATGAAAATAATAAAAAATAATAATAAACCATTCGGCTAAGACATCGTGAAATATACCATGCTACATAAAATGGTCCCTATACTTTGTCCGAAACTGGCTAAACTCCGCCGGAGTCGCAATCGTTGAAGTGCGGAATGCCTTTGTTGCTACGTAACGTGCGAGACAGAGAGTGAAAACAAATTAGACAAATTCGATGACTTGAATTTATCGGCTGAACTTTACCAAATTATTGTAATCGATTAAAATAATTCAATGAAAAGTAGACACATAGAATTATTTACTTTTTATTTATTACACAAACAT